GAGCTCCGTACAGACTATTACCACTGGGAGCGGAGGCGGCTAGTCCCTTTCCTTGCTGGAGTGCGGTGCACGATCTCTTTTTCCTCCTTTGGAGCCCAGGGTGGTTATCGGTAGCGGGGTCGTCTACTGCAGAGGCTTGGTGCTTGGTGAGCTGGTTGTCACGCGAGGTGTACGTTGCGCTTTTGCGCTTCCACGCTTTCGGTGTGGTCCGTGTTCCGTGGCTGCTGGATGCCACGTTTGGTATGGTGGATCTCGAAGGATCACCGTGGTCGTATGGACGGGTAGTGCGTCTGTGTCGGAGATGTGTGCGGAGGCTCATGGCTAGCTAGGGTGCGAGCCTGTATATGCGATGATAGTGTACGGAGTAACGAGATGTCTTAGTCGGATAGGTAGTGTGCATCCGAATGTAATGAAATAGATTATTGTATGCATTGTGCCGAGCGGCGTAGATGAGCAGTAGACTGCCATGGTAGAACAACTAAATGAACAGAGTGATTGAATGTGTGAGAACATGTGTGGTGGAAAACACCAAAAAGGATCGTGAGATCTGTAAAACACTAAGAGTGGGGGGCCTCACTTTGCCCCACCAAGATGCGTGTCCTAAGACATGCTTTTACCCTGCTTGTGCAGATAAATTCCTTAAAAAGAGGTACTTCTTTTCCGGAACCGCGGGGTACGGGGCGGCAGCCCTGTGCCACACGAGCGTAGCGACGTGGCGAATAACTACGAGAGTGAATGATGAAATCATATTTTCTACTCACAGAGAGAAACCATGGCTATGCAACAACAAACACAGAGTGTGGGAGCGTGGCTGACGCCGAAGGTGGCATGGCGCGTGACCAACAGACGGACGAGGCGACGGCGAGCCAAGGGGTCGTCGTCAACGAAGTTCGTTGACCAAAGTGGATACGACAGGGAATATTTCGCGATTTGAGCGAATCAGAACGCCCATCTAGCGAGCATTTGGTGCGAGCTCTGTATGATTCACTTGTAAGATGGGCGTTGACCGTTGACGAGAGTGGGTCCTTGGACCTACCTCGCTACCCAATGAGAAGTGGGCCTGCTGGCCCAGTTCGAACACCGAAAAAGGATTAGTGTGCGTGCACACAATCCGCACATTCCTTGGAAGTACAAAGGAAGGGCTGGGGCCCTTCCGAAAGTGGGAGGAGGGCGACAATTCTTTCCTTCTATTTCCTCGGGCAGAGGACGAAGCAGCGCGGCAAGACAGGATGGGGAAGCACGGGAGTGCGAAGAGCTTGGGCTCGTATTTTCTCTACGTGAAGCGGCAGCGAGTACACCAGTGTTGGGCGTTGAGCCCGGAGCCGGAGGAGGGCAGAAAGGTTCTGCAGGCGCGAATGGGAGCCCGGTGGTGCTCCCACATCCGTGGTACGGTGGAGATGTTGGAACGACTGTGTGCAGCGAGGAAGGATGTGAGTCCGGACGTGCTGAGGCAGTTGGAGCGGATGCTCACGGGCGCTGTGCGCGCTTTTGCGACGGAGTTCCATATTCGGCTGGGTAGTCGTCTGTGGAGAGAACCCTGTGGGCAGGGTGTTTTTAAGCTGTCGCGCAGCGATGTTGTTGCTCTGATGGTGAACCGAGCGGGGCGGTTGAGCCTGGACCGGCACAGTGGGGAGCACGTGAGGGCAGTATGTGAGGATGCGGAGCGACGGGTAGGCTGTTTTCCTACGTTGGGTCGAGCGGGTGAGTGCGAGTGCACTTGCCACGGGTATGGGAACAACACGGAGGCGTTGTTTGAATACCTGACTCGGTTTGGGAGCGAGGAGGATGTCGTCTTCGCTAGCCTCGTCTCTGCCGCGTTTGCGGCGCAGGTGATCTGGGCGCGGGTTGGTAAGCCAGCGCGAGCGGGACTGATGGAGCGTGTCAGGCGTCTGTTCTACATCATGGAGCAGTGTCGTCCGTCGGGGAACGGGGCTCGTTGTTGGCCTGATGAGTTCTGCCGAGCTGGCAGCGTGCCTGGTGGTGTCTGCAATCAGGTTGCGGACTGCGGTTGCGTCTTTGGTGAGCGGAGGGATACTTTGCCTGATCCTGCTATGCTGCGTCGTGTAGTCGCAGATGGGAGCCTGGATTGAACGCTGGTGCGTTCCTCTCCTTTCCTGGCATGGCCCTTGCTGTGGTGAGAATACAATTCCTCCTGGAGGCTGTTGTACTTTCATTCGCGGAGCACTGTCTTCGCTTGCGGGGCAGGTGTACCGTAGTGGTCGCTAGCAGCGTGCTCAGTGGTGAGCAGTGAGTATGATTTTCCTGAATAGCTAGTAGCGATGGCGATTATAACAGTGGAGTGATTACTACCAAACTGGAGTAAGTGGTGCAAAGGATGCAGCGAGTTAGATACAGTGATGAGTGGAACCAACAATGAGCGGAGTGATTGAACTAAAAGGTGGAGTAAACCACCCAAAAACATCGTGAGATCCTGCAAACGCTGTGTGTGTGCAGCTTCATTCAATCCAAGATGCGTGCCTTCAAGCATGCTTTCGGTCTGGTACCGATAAATTCCTTAAAAAGAGAGCTAGAGTTCCGGATCCGCGGGGTACGGGGCGGCAGCCCTGTGCCACACGAGCGTAGCGACGTGGCGAATAACCACGGAAGTGAGATGATGAAATCATATTTTCTACTCACAGAGAGAAACCATGGCTATGCAACAACAAACACAGAGTGTGGGAGCGTGGCTGACGCCGAAGGTGGCATGGCGCGTGACCAACAGACGGACGAGGCGACGGCGAGCCAAGGGGTCGTCGTCAACGAAGTTCGTTGACCAAAGTGGATACGACAGGGAATAATTTGGCCTTTGGACGAATCAGAACGCCCATCTAGCGAGCATTTGGTGCGAGCTCTGTATGATTCACTTGTAAGATGGGCGTTGACCGTTGACAGAGTGGAGCCTGCCTCCACGACTGGCTGACCTATGAGGATGTGGCCTGCTGGCCACAATCCGTTACCTAATCGGGACAAACTGGGTCAGTTTGGACCAACCTTGAAAGTACATAGGGAGGGCGGGAGCCCTCCTGGAAAGATGTTGGGGTGCGGCATTCTTTCTTCCTTTCTTTGCAGCAGCAAACAACAGCGGAGCGATAGCAGGGACGATACAAAGTAGGGGACCTTTTGTTCTTTTTTCTGTACCTGGGCGGCGGAGCATTGGAAGCAGCGGAGGGACGATGGCGAGCTCTGCTGTGGGAACGAGGTATGTGAGAGTTGGTGGATCAACTCCGGGCTTTGTGCCCGTGGAGGAGTTCATGTCCGCTGGGAGCGGGTACACTGGAGGAGAGCTGGGCGACACGGGAGTGGGAGCTGTCCCGGCCTGGGAAGGCGCGGAGGAGTATGAAGAAGACCGGGAGGGTTCTGAGGCGTGGATTGTGCCGCTTGGAGTGTGGCACGCGCTGAGAGTGCGACCGAAGGAGCAGAAGGAGGACATGGCGGAGCGTCTTTTGTCACAGGTGTGTGTGGTGCTGGAGGCAGCTGATGGTTCTCTTTCCCTGGCACGCGTGGAGCAGATGCTGTGGTCTGTACTGGCGCGATGGGCGCGGCAGTTGGATCTGGACTTGGTGTCCGTGGATCTACCTATGGGAGGTATGGAGCAGTCGGGGACGTTGACGAAGCCGGAGCTGATATTGTCGTATGTGGGATGTGCGCAGCATATCTTCCAACAACTGGAGGACAGTGATGAGCCAGGGCAGGCTTGGCACTGTATGTGTGAGGATCTTGCTGGGGAGCCGGAGGAGGAGCGCTGTGCTGGCCGTGTCTGGCAGCTGGTTCGGACCCACTGTAACCGGTATGGCATGGAGGCATGCGGTGCTTCGGGACAGAGCATTCTTTCTTCTATGGAGGAGAAGAGAGGCTTCCTTGTCTGGGGCCCAGCCGACGCTGTCGGGTTCGGATTCTTCATGGGCGCCATTGCTTTTCGCTTGCTAGCCGAGGCTCTCGAGGAGCCGGAGCTGGAAGTCATTTGTGGTGCTTGGCTAAACTTTTGCAGCAAGCATTGTTGCGGTGCTTATGACTGAGCGGCGCGGTGGACAGGTGAGGTGCCTGGGTGCACTTGTGCGCGGGATGTCGGCTGTGCTGACCGATGGCCTAGTGGACCTGTCGGAGACTGGTCGTGGTGAGCATGAGCTATCACGGGATAGTAGAATTCACGTCAGGTTGGAGGCGAGTTGTACGAGCCGTGCGACTTGGTCGATCTATGAAACGATGGAATGAAATGAATGAAATGACTAGTGGAACCAACAATGAACGAAGTGAATGACATGAAGTGAGAAGTGGAACAAAACACCAAGAAAGATCGTGAGATGCAACAAACACTGGGGAAGTGTGGCTTCAAAACTAGAAGATGCATGTCCTAAAACATGCTTTTATTACTTAATCCGCATGCTGTCAGAAAAGATGGCTAGAGTTCCGGATCGGCGGGGTACGGGGCGGCAGCCCTGTGCAGCTCGAGCGTAGCGACGCTGCTTAATACACGAGAGTGAATGATGAAATCATATTTTCTACTCACAGAGAGAAACCATGGCTATGCAACAACAAACACAGAGTGTGGGAGCGTGGCTGACGCCGAAGGTGGCATGGCGCGTGACCAACAGACGGACGAGGCGACGGCGAGCCAAGGGGTCGTCGTCAACGAAGTTCGTTGACCAAAGTGGATACGACAGGGAATAATTTGGCCTTTGGACGAATCAGAACGCCCATCTAGCGAGCATTTGGTGCGAGCTCTGTATGATTCACTTGTAAGATGGGCGTTGACCGTTGACGCGGGTGGGTCCTGACCCTACCGCTTACCTAATAGACTGGGAGCCGAAGGGCGAACAGTCGTACTATTGAAGGGGACGGTGGCTGTGGCCACTGGAACCCGGACTTGGCTAGCGCGAAACGCGGAGAGTGGGTCGGAGACCATGTGCCGGGGGCTGATTGGCCCGAGGGGGAGGCGATGGGCGGGGCCTGGAGGGTATAAGGGTAGGGGCTGCCCTTTTGTTGGAGGAAACAAAGGTTGTCTTTGTTCCTCTCTCTTTCTTCGATCTTGTGTGCGCTGCGGAGCTGGCGATACGATGGGTGACGGGGAGTCATCTGCCAGTGGTGCTGAGGTCGCCCGGAGGCGCGATTTGTTCTGGATGTTCGGCGTGACGGAGCCGAGACGGTTTCTCGACATGCTGCGGAAGCAGAACGCGGTGGTAACCGGGACGGCCCTTCTTGGGGCTGTCGGTATGTCATGGAAGACGAAGTGGCAGTTGGCCACGGGTGCGTTCTCGTTGGACGTGCTATGCCCGCCTGGGGCGGCGCAGTCGGAGGTGATGCAGTATCTGCTGCGTTGTGGCTATGCTGTGAGCGGGGGATCCTGTCGACACACGCTGGGAGAGTGGACGGGACTCCCGGAGGGGTCTGTCGCGTGTTTGACGCGCGGAGAGCATGGGCTCTTGTCGGTGGTCCACGTTGTGCGGCTGAAGATGCGGGTGCAGGAGGTGATTACCAGCCGGGTGTATGGTACCATGGTGGGTACGTATTTGACCGGGCGAGGAGTGGTCTTCTCGCTTTTCCCCCATATCACGTTTGCGCAGCGAGGCTACTGGGTGGCCGATGACATGCGTCCGGACAGTAAGCAGTCAATGCGTGTGAAGTATTCCGGGTGGTCGGAGATTGACGAGGGGGGACCCGAGGTTTGTTCTGTTCGCCATCCGGGTGATCGGCAGAGTTTGCTTTTGCATCTGGGCGAAAAGGGTCTCAGTGTGAGGCAGGAGCCGCAAGAGTACAGGTAGGCACGGATGTGCAGTGGTCGTCGTATCGTGCTAACTATTGTTTCCTGAGGATCAGGTGTCCGCTCGGCAAGGAAGTGCCCGTGGGTTTTTCCCGAAGCGCTTTGGACTACGGAAAGACTTTTCCTAGTATGAGGGCTGCTGCGAACGTGGGTGCGAAGCAGTATGACTCTTCGACGTGGGCAGAGGAGAACAGGACGAGGATCCGTGTGCCCAAGCGGGGCAAAGGCAAGAAGGCTATGAGTAGGCAGTCAGAGTTATAGTACATGCATGTGGAGGAATGGAGATCGTGTATGGGGAGCATGTGTCCAGTATAATAAGAAACGGAGTGATGGAATAACCAGTGGAACAATCAGAAGAATGGAGTGATTGCATGAAATGAAATGTAATGTGTGCAGTGAAACAAACACCAGAAAAGATCGTGAGATGTGTGCAGAAGCGTAGTGGTGCAGCTTCATTCAATCCAAGATGCGTGCCTTCAAGCATGCTTTCGGTCTGGTACCGATAAATTCCTTAAAAAGAGGTACTTCTTTTCCGGAACCGCGGGGTACGGGGCGGCAGCCCTGTGCCACACGAGCGTAGCGACGTGGCGAATAACCACGGAAGTGAGATGATGAAATCATATTTTCTACTCACAGAGAGAAACCATGGCTATGCAACAACAAACACAGAGTGTGGGAGCGTGGCTGACGCCGAAGGTGGCATGGCGCGTGACCAACAGACGGACGAGGCGACGGCGAGCCAAGGGGTCGTCGTCAACGAAGTTCGTTGACCAAAGTGGATACGACAGGGAATAATTTGGCCTTTGGACGAATCAGAACGCCCATCTAGCGAGCATTTGGTGCGAGCTCTGTATGATTCACTTGTAAGATGGGCGTTGACCGTTGACGCGGGTGGGTCCTGACCCTACCGCTTACCTAATAGACTGGGAGCCGAAGGGCGAACAGTCGTACTATTGAAGGGGACGGTGGCTGTGGCCACTGGAACCCGGACTTGGCTAGCGCGAAACGCGGAGAGTGGGTCGGAGACCATGTGCCGGGGGCTGATTGGCCCGAGGGGGCCGATGCAGGGTGCGGAGCTTGCTCTGGGGGACAAAGAGCAGTTTTTGGACGATGGGTCGTTTGCTGCGGCGGTGATGCGGCAGGGTTATCTTCCCCCTTGCTCGTGTGACGAGTGTGACGAGGAGATTAAGCGCGTTGATGAGCGCAGCGGTTGGTTACCGCGTGGCTGGATACTGGGAACTGCTGGGGGCAGGACCAACAACACTAGGATGTTGGTTGTGGTCGGAGGCCTGACCTTAGCCGGGGGCTTGTATAAGAATTGGATGGCACTTGTGGTGCTTGGGGAGGATGTCCCTGGGACGAAAGTTCCTTTTGTTCACGACACGATCAGCGATGGTGTCTCCTGAGCGACTTCGCGATGCGCCTTTGCGCCTTTTCCGTTCTTTCCACCCGAACATATTCATGTTCCTGCGTGAGGCAGGTATCTATGATCCGGAGGGGTTTCTTGGCCTGCTCCGACGGACAGGAGCGGTGGTGACAGGATGGGTGCCGACACTTGTCCTGGCTAGGGGCGTCTTCCCGGAGGCACACGACGAGCCGGATTTGGAGGATGGGACGACGATCTTGGTGCATCAGGACCACTTGGCGACAATACAGCGTTTCTTTGTGGAGAACGCTTCGCGATATTGCGGTCCGCGGGTGGAGGACCTTTGTTGTACGACTGGGTCGGCTGGATCGGGGCCTGGGCCCCTCATGAGTGTGATCGTTCCGGTGTCGGACGAGGAGGTCAGGGAGTCTCGGTGTCGGAGCTTGCAGGATCTGGCGATGCAGCTGTGTGCGCACACGGCCGAGGCCGTTTTTCTGTCAGGGACGGGATTGTTCTGTCCTTTTCCCTACTCGGCGCTGTATCACCACCGGGGGTGAACATGTTCTCGTTGAGTCTTAGGCAGGAGCGCGCGAACGTGAGCCGGCTCTTCTTTGAGAGGCGTGGATATGTCATTGGCAATGATGCGTGGGAGCTGGACTTGGATCACTTGTCAGAGTTGGGGGATCGGAGAGCGCCTATGGATGGCTTCAGCCTTTTTGCTACGTGGAGTCCGGATGGTTACTTGTGGACTGGTGGGACGGCTGAGGCAGAGGCTGCCAGGTTCTGGAACACAATTCGATTGGGTGGTGCGCAACTAGACCGGGCGGTCCAGGTGGTGGAGAGTCCGAAGGAGTAGTCACTGTGGTGCAGTTCAATTCAATCAGAGTGGAGCTGTGTCTTGTGTGGAGCACAACACCAAAAAGGATCGTGAGATCTGCTAAACCCTAACAAAGTGGAGCTTCATTCAATCCAAGATGCGTGCCTTCAAGCATGCTTTCGGTCTGGTACCGATAAATTCCTTAAAAAGAGAGCTAGAGTTCCGGATCGGCGGGGTACGGGGCGGCAGCCCTGTGCAGCTCGAGCGTAGCGACGCTGCTTAATACACGAGAGTGAATGATGAAATCATATTGTCTACTACTAGAGAGACATAATGGATATGCAACAACAAACACAGAGTGTGGGAGCGTGGCTGACGCCGAAGGTGGCATGGCGCGTGACCAACAGACGGACGAGGCGACGGCGAGCCAAGGGGTCGTCGTCAACGAAGTTCGTTGACCAAAGTGGATACGACAGGGAATATTTCGTCGATTGGACGAATCACAGCCCATCTTCGCGACCATTTGTATGGGCGCTCTGTATGATTCACTTGTAAGATGGGCGTTGACCGTTGACGAGAGTGGAGCCTGCTCCACGAGAGTTTGACCTATGAGAACGGGGCCTGGTGGCCCAGTTCGACTACCCTTTAGGGCCTAGCGCTGTGGCGCTGGCCCCACATTCGAAGATACAAAGATGGGCTTGGGCCCATCTCGGGGAGATGAACTGGCAGGACATTCTTCCCTCCTTCATTTCATTTCGGAGAAAGGCGAGGGACGATCACGGCGGAGCGACAACAGGAGAGGATCGGTTGTTTCGAAATTTCGTATTTCTTTTTCCTTTGTTCTTGTGGCCAAGAACCAAGCCTTGGGATGCACTGGCGTGCATCAACAGGAAGCGCAATGGGTATGGAGCACCCCGTGCACGGGGTAGAGATAGGCGAGGGGGGTCGAGCCGTTGGACTGGACCTATGCTGCGCAGAGGGTGTGGTGAGGCCGGGACGATCCTTGGTACTACGAGAGGGGGAGTGGTGCAACGGGCACTTGGTGCCCAGTCTGTTACGGAGTGGGGATGTGTATTTCCCCGTGTTCGACAGGACAGTTGTCTTGTCGTTTGCTACGCGACGGCAGGAGTTGTCGCCGGGGCGTGATATCCTGGAGGAGATGATCCAGAGGATACGTCAGGTGGGTCATGATGGAGTGACGCAGGTCTTCTGCTTGTCCGGGGCGGACTTGGTGCGGGAGCTGTGTGTGTGGGCGCGTGCCGCCCAGTTGCCCCTGGGGGTGAAGAGGTATGAGATCGCGACTAGCCAGGGTGTGCTGGCTGTGCCTGTCCCGTATGAGGGCTTGGTGCCTCTGGCGAGGCTGATGTACGGGCTCGTGGAGAGCCCGCGGAGACACGAGATGAGTTCCTTGGAGAGGGGAGTCGTTAGGAGGATGATGAGCGCGGGGGGGAGTTGCGCGGTTTGTATGCGGTGTGCATGGTACCATGCGGACCTGTTCTTTCTCTTCCACCTACTGGAGGTGCATCTGATGCCGGGTCACTGGCACTTGGTGAACTTGGTGTTCTGTGCGGAGGCCACCAGAAGGGTTGCGGTGGCGCTTGGGTCTTCCACTCTGGAGTGGTGGGCCGTCTGGCTGTTGACGCTGTTGGACCGCGTTGCGTATTGTCTGGACCATGGCCTGGCCAGGATGGAGGGCGGTGCTGACACGGTGTGGCAGGTGCAGAGGTTAGATGGGCGTAGTTGGAACAGCCCTTTGTAGTATGCTGTCAGTGATTGTACACTTGGTCGGAGGATCGTGAGCATGTACGGAGCAATCTGTGGAACTGTCCGATGCCCTTCGGGGCTCTCTGGTGATTCATAATAACTTCTCGAACTAGGATGACGAGACATGAAATGAGCATGTGCAACAATCAGAAGAATGGAGTGATTGATGGAGTGATGTGGTGTGGAACAATGTGCAGCGGAGCCAACCTCCAAAGAGTATCGTGAGATCTGTAAAACAGTACTAGGGTACAGCCTCACTTGTGCAAAGATGCGTGCCCTAGAGCATGCCTTTATTACTTTGACTGCATGCTGTCAAAAAGAGGTACTTCTATTCCGGAAAGAAGGGGGTTACAGGGGGAAGCCCCTGTGCCGTGGTCCGCAGGACCCTGGCGCTCACCTCGAAGAGCAATGATGAAATCATATTGTTACTACTAGTAGAAACACCATGGCTATGCAACAACAAACACAGAGTGTGGGAGCGTGGCTGACGCCGAAGGTGGCATGGCGCGTGACCAACAGACGGACGAGGCGACGGCGAGCCAAGGGGTCGTCGTCAACGAAGTTCGTTGACCAAAGTGGATACGACAGGGAATATTTCGCGATTTGAGCGAATCAGAACGCCCATCTAGCGAGCATTTGGTGCGAGCTCTGTATGATTCACTTGTAAGATGGGCGTTGACCGTTGACAGAGTGGGTCCTTGGACCCCGACTGGCTGACCTATAGGAACGGGGCCTGGTGGCCCAGTTCCGTTACCGAAAAGGGATGAAAGTGGGCACACTTTCTCCCACATGGAAAGTACAAAGGAAGGGTGTGCACCCTTCCCAAGAGAAGGCAAAGGATTTCATTTCTCTTCCTCTTTTTCCTCGGAGAGAAACAACAGCAGGGCGGCAGACAGGATGAACAAGACGGGGGCGTCGGTGCGGTCCGGAGGATTTGGAGGACCAGTGAAAGGTCCTCTCCCGCGAGGGATGATGTCCTCGAAGCCTGTCGGTCCTGGCTTTGGTAAGAGCCAGGTGATGAAGCAGGATGGCTTACTGTCGGCGCCTGTGGGCGCTGGTGTGGTGCAGAAACCGGAGGTGGGAGCCTTGACCCCTACGGGGCAAGCAGAGACAGTGGCGGAGGCTGTAGACACGTCTGGCCCGGGAGGGCCTGTTCCGCCTGCGGGCGGAGTTTCTTGTTCTGTTCCGGAGGAGGCAAGCAAGGCAGTCGAGGGGACGGACGAGAGGAAAGATTTGGGGGCTGGAAGACCCGAGGAAGGCAGGTGTTCGGCCTGTCAGGAGATGTCGACTTCCCTGCGGGACGTGGGGCGTGGAGTGATGAGTATTGGAGAGAGAGTAGGGACGCTGCAGGAGGCAGTGGGTGCCCTTGACCAGGAGCAGAAGAGCCAGGGGATGTTGCTCGGGAAGGTCCAGGCTGCGCAGAGCCAGCTGGGTGGTGAGCCGGCGTGGGTCGACGGCGTCATGAGTGCATTGCATGGTGTGCTGGAGGCGGTGCGAGAGTTGACGGAGGAGCAGAAGAAGGGAGCGTCTTGCGGGGCTCGGATAGAGCAGATGG